TAAAGTAGCCACTAAATAATGCACTCCACATCTTGCATCTATCTGTGTCCTCTGGCTAAGCATGAAAACCTCATGTGTTGTTGAAAAAGTTTATAGATATGTGCATCCCCATTCAAACAGCTTCTTCAACATTCTAACAAATGATACACATCAACAACTTTGTATACCTTACTGTACTTTTCCTCCATAAAATGTTAAAAATGTTGCCCAGAGGGTATGAATTCATAATATAATAATATTATTGTAACTAACTTAAAAACAAGCAATTCCAGTAGGAAAGGAAAATGGGTTATCCCATGAAAGATTATTGGGTAATTTACATTTCAACTTACTATTCTTTGGCCATGCATATATTTCACTATTCATTAAACTTGGAAAATTATCCATATTTTGAATTCTGTCCACAATTTAACAAAAAAATCTACTAGAGTTAAAATGCTGCTTGTGGAATAATTTTACCAGTGAGCTTGTTTGCATGAGCTTGCAACATTCACAAATTAAAAGAACCGGATCAAAACCTTAGGTTCATATGCAACACCTCCCTTTTCCTCTTCCAGTATGGTTAAGAGGACTTCAACAGAGTTTAGTTTCACTTTCAAAGAAAGTTGGCTTGCCCTTACATACAAACCAAAGAGAACGGATTAAAACAATCTTTGGTCAATTGCTATAAAAGGGAGGGAAGGGCAGACACAGGTATGTACAGCAAAAACCAATGAGAGAGGATAAAAAGGAGCCCACACATTGAACAAAATTTTTTATATTTGTTGGGGTGGTGTGTCTTCTGCTAGATAAAGAAAATCAGCTTTTACCTATCTCTTTCACACAAACACTTCTGAATTGCACTGAGCAACAATAAAATGTTTTCTGCAGGCACTTGAGACTTTTTACTCTCTCTCTCCCCACTCAATTACTAAACGAGTGAGACTCAGATCCCTTTGTATGAGGAAGAGGGACAAGCATGCGTGTTCATGCTATGGTCTAATGTTATATGCCAGCCAGCTCAGTGACAGTAACATTATTAATGACATTTGATAAAAGCTCTTTTAACCTGCTGTATTTCACAACTTAACATCTAAGATTAGGACAGCCTTCTATAGCCTTGTGCCCTCTAGTTATTTTGAACTTCAGCTCCCATCAGCCCAAGTCAGAATGGCTGATGGTTAGGATTAGTCCAAAACATTTAGAAACCACCAGTATGGGGAAAGGCTGGATTAGGATAATAAAAAAGATGAGCCTTTTGGGCCAAAAGGCAGGGTATACGTGCTGTAAAATTTTTTAAAAAAAGTTATTCTAAACACATGTAAACACACCAGTGGGGTCGTGGCTTGCAAGGTCAACATGATGGTACTTTCTTATTAGTAGGGCAAATGACCTTGAAAGGTGTACGAGATGTCGATTTAGCATAGCTATGTCGATGTGGGTACTTGAAGGGCAGGCAGAAGGGACTGTCCTATGATGATTTAATCTTGTTGCCATGGTCAGTCTGTTTCTTGGTAAGGCTTGGACTTTCCATCGCTTTCTGCCTTTGCAGGGGTGGGAGACCAATTAACTAATAAGGACTAGGGAATCTGATGGATTCCTGAATACTCTATGGAATTTCTTGCTGTGAGGCTGGTGCTCTGTCTGAGATCTGGTCTCACTATAGAACAGTGGGATGGAGAGGCTTATTGATATACTCACTCCCAAGTGCAAAGCACAGACCAATCAGCCTGCTGAGACCTATGGGCAATGAAGCAAGCGGGATGACAATTTGAGTGCAGGCAACGTAAGTCTCAGAATGAATGCAATCAACAAGAAAGCACATTATCACGCCTGCCGTGTGGAGCTGATGAAAGTAAAGAAAGCTCACTTTGCTGCAATTATCACATACAGCATAGTTATTCTGTGCAGCGAAAGGGTTATTAAGATCAGGCCCAGAAGCTGAAATTGGAGAATCTGCAGAAGGCTGCCATGCACACTGAGGACAGTGTCTCATACACTTAGGTGGAACTTGACACTGATGTTGTTGCAGGTCCAATAGAGAGGTCCAACTGTTTATGAACAGTTTCAGTCATTGCAGGCTGGTGCTGTGGCTGAGATCCTTGGAAAGTTCCAGCCAACAATGTGTACATTTAACATTTACCCTTCATGGCTTGTGACATCTAGCTCAGTGTGTGAGGAGGGGACATAGGGCAACTGAGATGCTGGATCCAGGTACTGGTTAATGGATCTCTGAAGGAATGGGCTGTATTTCAACTCCTGAAATAGTCATCCCTGGACACAAAGATTTTTGATAACTCCTATCCAGTCACACATGATCCCTTTTCATGCAAAGCTCTCAAGAAGATGATCCCTGGACAGCTCGAAGAACAGAGTATCTCAAGTCACCTTGAGGAATAATCTTTGCCAAAAGAGACAGTGGGAGTGAAAACCTGTTAATCTGCCTGGCCCTCCCAGTCACTGTGGATAGCATGAAACAAAGTATCTTGCTGGATGGCTCTGTCTCTCAATTACTGTGACTAAAGGGTATGATAGCATGCTGGTTCCACTCCTACCTGCAGGATTCTTTCAGGAAGTGGCACTGGGGGATTTCTGCTAGACCTTTCTGTGATACCTTGCAGGTGCTGGACCAGTGCCTGGAAACAGCAATGGGTTGGAAGAGACCCAGTAAACTTAGACTAAATCCAGCCAAGTCCAAGGTCTAGTGGGTAATTCTCAGGTTTGGAAACTAAGCAGCAGAGACAGCCTGCTCAGGATGGACTTGAACTCCTGGAGAAGCAAGCAAGTAGTCTGAGGATAACCCTAAGTCTAGCTTTATCACTGGCAGTCCAGGTGGCTTCACTGATTTTGAGTGCCTTTGTTCAGCTTCAGTTTATGCAATAGCTATGGCTGTTCCTAGACAGAGATAATTAGGTTACAGTGGTCTATCAACTAAAACCCTCTAATCTGGATTATTGTAATGTGCTGTAAGTGGGGCTGCTCTTGAAAATTATTTTGAAAAAACAGCTGGTGCAAAATCCCTGCATGCTGCCAGGGATGCTGTGACACTAATCCAGAAAGAGATGCATTGTCTGTGCTGAATTCAAGGTGCTGGTCTTGACTTGAACTCAGACAAGCGAAGGAATAAGTCTTCCTATATCACTCTAACTATTCTCTTACAGCTGAGGAGGAGGATGGAAGAGTCCCATCCTCTGGATTAAAGGAAATACAACAGGTAGTGACAGGACATACAGTCTTCTCTGTGGTGGTACAAGTTTAGAAAGCCTTTCCTCAAGAGGTATGTCTGATGCACACTTTTTGACATTTCAGTACCAGGCTAAGTCCCATCTGTCTTCCTAGACATGTATGAGTGATTAATTTCCACTGCAATCTATCTCATTGCTGTGCTTTTTAAACTATATGCATTTTATTTTATTGCTTGTTTGAATATTTTTTAACATTGCTGTTACCCACCTTGGGATTTTTATGGAGAGTGGCAGAGGCCGTACCTCAGTGGTAGAGCACATACCAGTATGCAAAAGGTCCCAAGTTCATTCTCCGGCACCTTTAAGTAGAGTTGCCAAGACTCCTACCAGAAAACCTAAAGAGTAGCTGCCAGTTACTGGCAACAATCCTGGAGCAGATGGACCCACCATAAGGCAGCCTCCCACATTCCAAAATATGAATATACAGATAAGAGCTCACTATCTACAAACGCTGTGCACTGCTGCTAGTTGTGAAGTCGTGTCTGACCCTTCATGACCCCATGGACAACATGGTTCTGTGCTACATAGATACAAATCTGGTGCTGCAGAAATATAAATAATTCAATTCAAATTCTCTTATTCAGTCTGGATCAACTGAGCTTTCTCCTTCGCTCTTTTTTAAAAAGCAGCCCACCTACCCACACAGAAAAACTAAATACTGGTTTGCATTGCCTGTGTGTGCCTGTGCACACACAAACCAGAACAGATGTGTCTAGCTAGGAATTTCACCAGTGGATCATACGATGCCGTGCTTTGTAGCGCTTCCTGCACCACGCTTCGTCACCTTTATTGCAGGTTTCACTACTTTCCTTCATTTGCAAAAGCCCCACAACCAACTGACTAAACAAAAAAAAAAAAACACACACACACAAAGCTGTTCAAAGTAAATCATGGGGAAACATGTAAAGTAAGCAAATGACCTTCATTTGCCATTTTATGCTGCAATTTTCATGCACCCCCTTGACAGTAAGTCTAGCTGGTATATGCATGGCTTATTCTGAAAGAATATGCTCAGCACTGGATCTGCAGTCTAAAACAAGGTGCTATGATTACAGAATTTGGGGAAGTTTTTAAAAAGTGCAATATTCTAGAGTCTTCAATTAAAACATGTTAGGTGGCATTGGGTCCTTTTACTAGGAACTGGTAAATACACTCACTGCATCCATCCATCACAGTTTCTTAGAAGCTAAATGGAACTTAGTTTAGCTTCCAAGTAAATATGTCATCTGCCAATAACACAAAAAATTGACCAGCCAGTATGTTCATGATAATCATTAATTACTTCTGAAAATGTAAATGCAATTAAAATAACTAGAGACCATTCTCACATTAACTGAATTGCATCCAGAAGGTGGAATTTGAACAAATGCTAATGTATGTGTGTGCATGAAAAAGGAATAAGCAAGTTAACTTTTAAGATGCAAAATGCAAAACCAATTAATAGAAAGGTTCAAGGGAAAAATAAAAGAGCTGAATTTGATTACCGTTAGAAGTTAAATCTGTTTTACTGTGAAACAGGGAAAGACAACCTAGTGACCTCCGGATATTTTGGACTACAACCAGCATTGCCAATGGTCAGAGGCTGAGAGGGATAATCAAAACTTCTGTGCCGCCTCCTGTTTCAGATGTTTACACGCGCTGACTGTACCAAAACCGAGGAAAGGTTCACAAGGAAGAACAACTTGCTTTACAGAGATAGCGGGGCAAGGAAAGGTGTGCGGGCTGACGCGGGACGATCAGAGGACGGTGCGGGAGTGGGGAATAGGCAATGCAGACCTTTCCTGTGCGGCTGCATCTCGTCCATTCAACCTTCTCGGGGACGCGGCATTGCTATTGCTGCCGCTGCTACTGCAGCGGGTCGCCTTTCCTCTGCGACTTACTAGCAGCTCCTGAAAAGAGGGAGGAAGTCACGCCTCCTTACCCGATGCGTTCCACGTCAAGGCCTCAAACCTTTAGCCTTTCCGAGGGAGGCGGAGGAGGCTTAGCACGGATGGTAACCGCTAGGAACGGATTACCTCCTCCAGGCTTGAAAGCAGGACACAGGGCAGGGAAGAGGGCTGAGCGCTGCGACTACCGTAGGGCAGAGTCCCGCTTCCAGAAACTTGCGGGCGGGCGAAGCTTGAAGCGAGGCGAGGGCAGGCGGGTCAGCTGCTGCTCTCTAAATTTGCACGTTCGTTGCGCAGAGGCAGTAAGAGCAGCGAGGCCGCAGCCCTCTGCGTGTTTACCCGGGAGTCCGTCCCATTCAGCTCGAGGGGGCTTGGTTCTGAACAGGCACGTCCAAAGTTAAGACGGGCTGCGACTCCCCCACCCCGTGCGCACACTTTCTCTCCCTCCCCGAAAAGAACATAAACTGCACCTCGCCGCCCCGGAGCTCAGCTCCCGCCTCGTCCCGCAATCCGCAGCGCCGCCTGCCGAACACGACCGACCGACCACCCTGGAGCGGCACCCTCGAGGCGAGGAGACCCACACGCTCCCCGGGACCCGGGCGCTCCGCGTCCGGCGAGGGGGCCGCCCCGAAGCACCGGCGGGGGCCCCGCCCGCCTCCCGCACAGCCACGGGAGCGCGGCGCCCCCTCCTCGCGCCCTTACCTTGCCCGGCGGGCTGCTTGTCCTTCGCCAACCTCCAGCGTGGCTGCAGCCGCCGCCACGCCGCCGAGGCTGTCCGTCGTGGTGCTCTGGGCAGCGCGAGCTTCTTCGGCGCCGCCGTCCTTCCCGCCTCACTCTTTTGCCCCCCAGGAGCTCAGGCAGGTCTGCGCGAGTAGGGACCGGGGCCTCATCGGGGCCGGGAGGCCGGAGCAAGGGGCTGCGAAAGAAAGCGGGCCGGGGGCGGGGTGGGAGCTCTCCCGAAGACGGCTTTACGCCTCCGCCAGGACCGAATGCCCGGAGAGGCAGCGTGTGCACGGAGAGAAGCTCCGCCTGTTGCTGCCGCCACAGCCTTACTAGGCTCGTGATGAGCTCCCCGCGTGTAGACAGCAGAACGCAGCCAGGCAAAACAGGAAGGAGAGAACGGCTAAGGGAAGCAGTAAAAGTAATTAACGGCGGCTGGAAAGGCAAGCGTGGCTTAGAGGCAAACCCTGGCAACTTTCCGAAGGATCAGCAGTCCCAGCCCGATCCTAGCCCCATAGAATCGCATAGCGGCTGGCGTCCTCCAAAGCCATCTTCTCCGCGGAACTTGCCAACCGTTTGGAACTTCCATCAGCCCCAGCCCGCATGGCCAGGGGGCAGCGATGCTGAGAGTTCCTGTCGCAAACGTCCGGAGGGCGGCAAAATGGAGAAAGCTGGGAAAATTATACCGCGTACCCAGAGCATGCCCAATCCGTGGCTGACGGACTTTAATATTGTCCCAGCGAGGGAGAAAGTGCATTCCCCTGCTGCCAGACTCGTCTCGTAGAAACGCACGGCTTTGTCTGAACGTTAAAAATAAACCGCCTGTGTGTCTGGGGAGCTTCCTTTTGATGGGAAGTCCCCCCGAAAAATTGCAGCATTTTAAATGTTTGTTTGGTTTACACACAAGGAATATTGATAGAAGCAAGTACAGCAGAGCCACTCTCTCATTTTGGCTCTTCAGAGGAAGGAACACCCCAAATTCATTTCAGCCTCACATTTCTTTTTCTGCCACTCTCCTAAAGCTGCCCATTTCTCACATGCAAAAAGACAGATATCCATCACCTTCCCGGGCTTGTGTTGCAGATTGCTGTGGACTGGCATGTGTTCAGGACTCACTGCCCAGCAGGGGCCCAGTCATAAGCCCTCTGGAGCTGCTGCTGCTCTGCAAGAGCCAGCTTGTTCACTTACCTCTTGCTCAGGTCCAGGCAAAGGTGGTGGTGGTGAGGAGGAGCAGTTGATGCCCTGGCCTCCTTGTTCTTGGCTCTCTGCTTGCCGAGCAAGCAAATGGGAACAATGGTGAGAAGAAGGAGCCAGCAACGGTGCTGCTGAAGAGGCAGTTGCATGGAGGCAGGGAATGACAGAGGGTGCCTTGCCTGGAGGACTTCAAAAAACAATCACCTTTTCCAAGCTCTGATGTGACTTCTCTTTCCAAAGATCACAGAGCTCTCTGTATCAAGGAAGCATAACAACCAGTTCCCATAAAAAGTTTCCCCTAGGCCATCCTGGACCATTAACAAATACTAACATCATCTTGCTGAATTCCAGACTATGACTGCTTTAAGGTAAGCCTATAGTGATGATTCCACCTAGAGTAACCAGCCTGTCATCTGAGTGATCTGAGTTGAGTGATCCCTTGACATGGCATATTTAGGGGTGGCACTCACCTTTCAGAATGAATTGCCAAGATAAGCAGAAATAGCATGCAATCTGAGAACAATGCCTGAGCTCTTCTTTCCATGTGGCTAGAAGATGCTGGCCTGCAAGCCTTGGCTTGCTCATTGCTGAATTCGCAATGTCAGAATCCCGGAATCTCAGTTTGAGAAGAGGGAATAAAACTCAGGTTCGTGGGAAAGATCAAGCGTCCAGACTATCTGAGGCTTTATTGTATTGCCCCAAGGTTCCTGCGGTGCTTACTATTATGCATGCATTACTAGGCAGGCAGAGGTAAACTCTGCTGCAAAGCTTCAACACAACTAGAGAGTTTTTATACACTCCCAGTCACATACAGGTACAGGGCAATTGATGACAGAATGTAGACATTGCAATAAGGTTCTGAGGTCATCACATACAGAACAGATAAAGGAATGCCAGTCAATCATACTATAACAATGAGATTACAATATTTCTAATTGTATTGTATTGACACTTTAGTTGAGTAACTTGAACCCATCTCCAGGTCTGCTTAAATTCAAGCTACTAGAAAACTATTCATGATAAGCTCAGACCCTTATCTTGACTCTAAACATTCTGAATGATCAGGGCACATGAAGCCTCTGGGCTATCAAAAGATTATTGTAAACTGAATTCCAACAATGACAATTTACAATGTATATTTGGACTAAATGGCCTGTCTACTGTAGCTTACAGCTAAAGGTGAGAGAAAGGAGCAGGGGAATGCCATTTGAAACAGTGACAGCTTGGTTTTGAGAAGAAGTATAGGATTTGATCCCACAATTCAAACGCACATAGAAGTAATGTTTTTCTGACAGAATTTATCCAAATTTTCCCAACAGTAACAACACAAACAGAATGGTGCCCTGATAAATTTCACAATGATGCTACAATGAACCTCTCAAATCACATTTTACAGCCAGTTGGAATGTGGTGTGGCAAAACTATCTTGAGCAGATCTAGATATCTTGGTGCTGCAGAAAACATTGTCCCATTATTACTGCTGAAATAATCTTCTATATGTGGAAGGGGCCAAGTGCCATCTTGTTCTTTGACTCAGGTGGAAAACTGGATCATCACTAAGGGCCAATCCTACAGTCCCCTGACATCATCTGGAGGTCACAGAATTATTTATTTATTTATTTATTTAGAGTATTTGTATGCCGTCCCATCGCATTGCCTCGGGACGGCTTACATAAAATAAAATAAAACATAATACAAATAAATAAATAAAATCTGAATTATCTGAAATCCTTGCCCTAAAATCCTGCAATCTCAGCTGGAACTCTGAAGGCAGAACCCCTGCCCTGCTCCCCCTGCATACAGCATTAAAAGAGCTGCACTGGCTGCTCCCACCACCAGTCCTTAATGGGCCTCGGAGTGGGGAAGGGTGGACATGCTGAACAACGGGGAGGATAAAATAGACTGAGGTGCAACAGCAGCAGAGATCAGCTTTGCTATGCCATATTCTGGACACAAAATGCATACAAGCCTCCAAGCTCAGGGCTTATGTTCATCAAAGGTACAAGGCATAGAATTGCACCCTAACTGTATTAAGAGTAGTGAAGTACTGGAAAAGCTGTGTTGAGAAGACTCATCTTGAGGCAGCTTTTGAAATGGCTGAGTGGGTGCTTCCAGTGACTTGGTCAGAGTAGTATTGCAAGGGATACAGGGAATCCACAAGTAGAACTACAATTTCCCACTATCATATCAAACCTTTTGGTCCGTCTGACCAGTGTTTAAAGCACAGAGAAATGTTCCCTAAGTCAATTCCTGTGTGAAGGGAAAACACATTAATGTAAGTGAAGACAGTGAATGCTTATGTAACAATGCCACATGAGTCTTTCCTGGTTTTGCTCCAATGGACTAATGCAGCTACCCCTCTGGAAACTGATATTTTCCAAGTGAGGTGAGGGCATTCTCAGTGGTGGCCTCTGATTATGGAATGCTCTTACCAGTGAGGTCTAATACCAACACTGTGATCTTTCATGTGCCAAGTTGTTGTTATTGTTACAATTATTAATTTCATTTCCATATCTGCCAATTAACAAAGCTCACTTTGGGCAGTTCACAACAATTTGTAAAATTAGGTACAACTGTAAAAATAGTTGACAACAGAAATACAAATTCAATAAGATGCAGTATAAAATTCCAATATACAACATTTAAAATAGTTCTAACAAAAACAATTTCAATTAAAAAAAACCTTAGACCTGCTGAAATAACTTATATGTCCCATCATATGCCATTAAATATCTGTGAGAAGAAGGCAGCCTTAACTTCATGCTAAAAAGATGACAGTGTTGGTGCCTAATGAACCTCAGAGCATCAAATCTGAGACCACCTCCACTAACTTATAAACCTTATAATCCTTATAAACTGACCAGAGAGTTTTGGCTATTGGGTAATATAAAAATGGAATAAATGAATGGACTATAACGTGACCTTTCCAGAACGCTTTCTAACTCTCAATGTTATAAAAATATAAATAAGAAATTAATATAAGAGTGCATCATGTCATGAGTTTAGAAATCATTGTTCTCTTTCTTAGCATCATTTATCAGAAGCAACAGATCTGCAGTCACAATTCTCCTTGTATTTTATGCAGGAGGAAATCCCACTGAATTATCTGGGACTTACTAATTTCAATAAGCATGGTGATGTTTGCACTGGAGCTACAGTCACCATTTTAGACCACATTCTGATGTAATTGCTTCAACCCATTTGCAAGAGATCAGCACACTGTCACTGCTGCTTTCCATTGGTACCCCATCTTCTGAGTCTTCTAATCCACCAGTCTGCTGCAGCAACAATAATCGCTCTCTACTGTCTAGACAAGTTTAATCATGCAGCGCATGCTTAATTACCATTTGTGCATATAATAGCTCAGTCCTATGCAGAGTTATTTATTATTAACTGCTCTTCAGTTCCCAAAAAGACTCCCAGAGCAGTTTACAAAAGTTTTTTTTAACCCACAGCAAATAAGTAAAATAAAAATCAGTAAACCAAAAAAGCAGCAGAGAAGTAGTAAACTCAGTATTAAAATGGGACATAACAGTAACAGCTCAGAAGATCTAAATGCAAATACAAGCCCTGGCACAGAAAAAGCATCAGACTTGATACCTAGCAAAACTTGTTAGGCCGAGCATTTCAGATCTGGGGTATGATAACAGAAAAGCCCTCTCTTCAGTCATTACCCAGCTTGCCTTCAAGGACCTTGGGGTGGGAAGAGTTCTGGAGAACGGTCTCTAGGGAAGATCTTGAAGTCAATGGTGTTGTTATTTTCGAATGAGTTAATCCTTACATTGAATTTCTCTCCATAATTCTAGTAAGCATTGTTACCTTATGGAACTTCTACTTTTATCTTACATCCCTGCAGAGTTGCCATACAAAGTTGCCATGCAAAAAGCAAAAAGTAAGAACATGGCATAATTACGATGCCACAAGACCTGAGGAAATAAAAACTGAATGCCAGGCACAGTAGCCATCAGGGTGTTGAAAGGGACTAAAAAAGTTGCTTGTTGGCAAAGGTGTATGTGTTGAAATCGAAGACCTTGTATTCAGCAGGGGACAGCACTTTCCAACTCAAGGATG